CGCTGCCTCTTGACTTATACTTTTGTAACTCGTTGGTCTGCCCCTTTCCCATGCCCGTGGTGCACACAGTCCCATACGATACTTGCTTGACTGGACTAGGGCTGACTGGGACTGGGTACCGCTGACTCAGCACGGGTGGATTCCACCACTTGCCCACTTGCTTCTAGCCTACTGTGAGCAACATGTGAAGGGCCACTTCCGGACCTTCCGGAAGTCTATGGACTTGGCCCTTCGACACTGTAGCAGCTACGACCTTGACCCTTCAGGACTATAGCAGCTACGACCTTGACCTTTCAGAAGTCCTACAGCTATGACTTCTAGGACCTACTAACAACAGGTCTACATCTCGAACTCCTACAACCTACGGACCTACGAAAGCCTGCTAACTGGTGCAGATACACAGGTCACGGGTTCAACTATCAGGGTCGACACAGAGACTGTACACAGGTAAAGTGAGAACTAGGGATCGAGCCCTGGGATCTGCATCTGCTACTGCTAGCAGGTGAATACCGTTTCACTCCCGCCGGCCTAAATTCGAGGTCCTCTGAGAATAACTCAGTCCAAGGCAGGACCTTTACCCTTTTTTTCTCTCTCATAGGATCTCACTACATCGGGAGCTGATTCTAGAAGTTCAGTTCTAGTAAACCAGCGGTCGTCTTCGGGTTCTTGATAAGCAAATCGGACCTTGTACGGTTTCTGTGAACGACCTCTACCTCCTGTTCTAAATACGTCTTCACCTACAATGCCTTCAATGTCATATCTCCCATCCATGTCCGGAGGGATCATGGGTCTTCTAGATGGGAACTGTTGGCTTGTGACACACGGCAGCAACTTTGATGCATGAAACACGGGGTAGTTGTGGAGGTGTGTTGGGATCCCTACTGTGTAGGACGGCCCATCCTCTTCGCCCTTAGCTTCTAGAACTGGCCACGGTCCTCTATATGCGGGCAGTAACTTCTGCGAGATGTTTTCCTCAGGAGCAAACTCTTTGGACTTGACAAAGACCAGGTCACCTACTTGAAACTGTGACTTGCGACGATGCTTGTTAGCCTGTTCTATCATTTGGTGTTGGGCCTTCCTGAGGTTCTCTACAACGGTAGCTAACTCCTTCTCGTGCTGAATCGCAAACTCTCTAGTACCGGGCGGTAGCCTGTGAATCTGGTCCCGATTAAGTCCCTCAAACGGTTTGCGCGGTCTAAAGGACTTGTGAAGCTCATTGGGAGTGCGATACATGGCTAAGTGCACACTGTTATTATAGGCAATGGCTACCTTGGGCAACATCTCATCCCAATTGACTTGATCGGGTCTAATGTACATATGCAAAACTTGTTGCAGGATCTTATTCATCTGTTCGGTCTGACCGTTAGTCTCTGGATGACGGCCAGATGACATCAGCAACTTTGACCCATAGACTTTCATCAATTCTTGCCAGTTTTGACTAGTGAACCGGGTGTCTCTATCGCTAACTATAAACAACAGAATCTCGTGATCACTCACCCAATGATAAAAAACTTTTGAATTACTAGATCAGTACGTGTGTAACGAGTGCGAGGCTGAGGGAGACAGGGAGAGCCGAGGGAGAGGGAAGAGAGAGGGAGAGAGGGAGAGCACACACACACACACACTCACTTGACACGACTGAGGGTCAGACGCAGGCACAGTGGCAAGGACACAGTCGAAGTCTTGGATTCCGAATGCCGAAAACACGATCAAGTCACACTGAGTACGAGTACAGCAGCTGAAACTGGTACGAGACTGGTTGCCCGTACTGTACGGGGAATCGGTATAAGTGTCGGTGACACGTACGGTACCAGGGGCATCTCTGCAAAAGCCCCGAGGGCAGAACGGAAAAATGTGGTATTTGAAAGTGGCGCCCGAATTGTAGCATTGCGCCAGTTGTCTTAAATCCGACGGTACCAAAGGAGGGGTTTGGAAAAAGGGTGCCAGGCCAAAAATGGGATGTAGCAAAAACAGCAACAAAATAGACCAGGGGTCGAGCCCTGGCGGAGTTCGTAACACTATCCCCTCCCTCCGAAAGGCAACGTCCCGGCTGCCAAAAACCTAAGGAAACAAAAAGGAACTGTGAAGGACGGGATGGGGCCGATCACTGGTCGGAAAAGGAGAAGGGGAGTGATGCAAGTCACAGGGTATTCTGTCAGATGTTCTGCACAGGTGAAGGTATGATGTAACTGGGTAGGTCTACAGGGGAAGCTAAGAAATGTTCAGGGAACAGGGGATTTCTATTGATGTTCTACTGGGTAAGGGGAAACAATGTCCAAGAAAATAGGGAATTTTTATTGATGTTCTAGTGGGTAAGGGGAACAATGGTGAGGGAAACAGGGAATTTCTATTGATGTTCTAGTGAGTAAGGGAAACAAAGGTTAGGGGAACAGGGATTTTCTAATGATGTTCTACGGGGTTGTCAGGAAAAATGAAAGTGTTTGTTCAGGATGCAGGGGCTGGTATGTCCGAAGGAGTGGGAAGCAAAATCTCATGTAGGAACAAAGTGTCCAAGTGTCTTGAAAGGGGATCTGCAGCGGTCTTGATCAGGTCTTGGAGTAGGTGGTAGAAGCGGTCCTTAGCGGCTGCGACAGGTAGAAGTCCAAGAAGCGTAGCAGTAGTTCAAATGTCCAAAGTCCAAGTGCTTGGGTGCGTCCGGTACACAAACTGCAATGAGGTGTGATCTGGAAGCAAGGAAGTCGCAGACTGATGCAAAGATCCATGTCACAAGTTGCTGCTCTAGTAAGTCTGTGAGTCAGGATGCCGGCAGATGAAACGGCATGGTGGCCAAACCAGATGCATAATCTCCATGATCAGTGAGGCATCAGGCCATCGTCCTCATGCGTTTGCCATAAGATCCTTTATCGTCGGCGTCACGCAGGTCCACAAGCGTTGGACAAGAGAGACAAGGTAGTGGAGAGGACAAATGGGACAAGGCTAGGCGAGGGCAGGGCAGATCAGACATCAAGAATCAGGGTCGAGGGAAAGGTGGGTTGGGTTCAAGTGTGTGTGTAGAGCAAGGTTGCGAGGTTGTAGCAGGGTTTTAAGCGAGGGTTTAGGGTTTATGCCGAGGTATAGTTAGGATACAGGTTAGGCACGATCATAGGCACGAACAAGTTTCATGGCATTCTGGAGATTATCAAGGGGTTCCCATGTTGATTCTTCATCAGGGTATCCGGTCCATTTTACTTTGCGTTCGGTGATTGGTTCCGGGTGATCTGATACTTGAGTTGTTCTTCGTCCTATGATTGATTCGACGATGAATTCTGGGCCTGTTGGAAACATAATTGGTGGAGGTCTAGGATAAGGGTGGTCAGCGAACTGGGGCGGGGATTCGTGGTATTCCTTGAGGTATTCTACGTGGAAGACTGGGTGGACGCAACGCATGTCAGGTGGAAGCTGAAGTTTGTAATTCACAGGAGAGGTTTGTTCAATGATGGGGAAGGGACCGAGCCACTTGTTCGAGAGTTTCTTGGAGAAGCCTTGTTCGGGCTCAAAGCGTTTGGCAGAAAGCCAGACTTTGCCCCCTACTTTGAATGGCACGTCACATCTGTGTTTGTTAGTCTTGTTTGCTTGTTGTTCTTGTGTTCTTGCATGGGCTTCGGTTGCTTCTCTGAGGAGTCTGTTCATTGTTGCTACCCATTCATTGAGAGAGGGGCAAGGGGTGGAGGGGCTGAGCTGCAAGGGAAGCAAGAAATCAGAGGGCAAGCGGGGATGGTTGCCAAGGTTGAGGTAGAAAGGGGACATGCCAGTGGAGGGGCAGACAGCGTTGTTGTAGGCAATCTCGGCGGCTGTGAGCAATTGATCCCAGTCGTGTTGGTGTGGATGACAATACTTCCGTGGAATTCTTTGGAGAGTATCGTTCATCTTCTTGGTCTAGCCATCGGTCTGGGGGTGGAATGCAGTGCTATACTTGAGCATGGTTCCGTAGGCTTGGAAGAGGTGTTTCCAAAACTGTGATAGGAAGAGGGGATTGCGGTCACTGATGATGTTCTCGGGGAGATCGTGGTGGCGAGCGACATGATCGAAGAAAAGTATGGCGATGTCTTTGGCATTGTGCGAGGTGGTACAAGGAATGAAGTGGGCGCATTTGGTCAGACGACAAACAATGACGTAGATGCAATCATGCCCACGGTCGGTCTTGGGGAGGCTGCACACGAAGTCCATGGAGATGGACTACCGCCGATGGGTAGGGATGGGCAATGATTGGAGCTTGCCGGGCTTGGCCCGGTTCGAGGGATTAACGACCTGATAGGTGGGGCACGAGCGGATGTATGCTTTGACGTCGGCGAGTAGAGAAGGCCAATGGAAGTAGAGGGAGATGGTGTCGAAGGTTTTCTGGAAACCGAGGTGGCCAGCGGTCTTGGCGCCGTGGTGCTCGGCCAAGAGCTGGGTACGAAGACCACATGCGTCAGGGATGCAGAGTCGGCGAGTGCCCTTTGTGTCAATGTAGAGTAGATTGTCATGGAGAGAGTAGTCAGGGACTGAGTCAAGGTTGCGGAGTTGGTGGTAAATGGAAGTGAAGTCTGGGCAAGAGAGGTAACCTTGGGTGTAGCGGCGATGTAACGAGGGAAGAAGTTGAATGTGGGTCATGGCAGCGTAGACTTTCTCCGGGGGCTTGTGGTCGGGGCGACAGGAGAGGGCATCATCAACGCGGTTGCTTTTGCCGGGGGTGTGGCAGATGGTGAAGGTGAACTGGGCAAGGAAGTCTAGCCATCGGGCTTGGCGGGGGCTGATGTCTTTCTTGGTAAGGATGGAGGAGACGACTGTGTTGTCAGTGCGGATGGTGAAGTATTGCCCGTCGAGGTACGGGCGCCAGACTTTGAGGGCGTAGACCACGGCTAGGAGTTCCTTCTCTTGGAGGGGTAATTCATCTCCGCGGGAAGGAGTTTCTTGCTAGCGAAGGCAATGGGGTGTTTGCCGGGTGGGGACTTTGAGTGAGGAGGGGAATCTTTGACAGAGGGGATCTCGGTGGTGTCAGGAGGGAAATGCTGGGACAGGACCAGCCCCAATGGCGAAGTCTGGGGCATCAGTGGTGACGAAGAAATGGCGAGTGGGGTCAACAATCTTGAGGACGGGGGCGGTGGTGATGAGTTGCTTGAGTTTGTCGAAAGCGGCTTGGCGGCGTTCAGTTCATGTGAAGGACTCGGTGGCGCGGGTGAGCTCATGGAGAAGGTAGGAGACGTCGGAGAAGTTTTGAATGAAGGGGCGGTAATAGTTGGCGAGTCCAATGAATGAGCGAAGTTGGGTCAAGGTGGAGGGAGGTGGGAACTCGACGAGGGCGGAGACCTTTTGGGGGTCCATGCGGATGCCGTCAGCCGAGACAATGTGACCAAGGTATTCTACGCTAGGGGCAGCAAATGTACACTTGCTGAGCTTGGCGTAGAACTTTTGTTCTCGAAGGATGGAGAGAACTTTGCGAAGGTGTTCGAGGTGGGATTCGAAGGTGGGGCTAAAGATGAGGATATCATCAAGGTAGATCACGACACGGACTTTGAGGAGGCCGCGAAAGATGTGATTCATGGTAGATTGGAATGTGGCGGGGGCATTGGTGAGTCTGAAGGGCATCACAAGGAACTTGTAGTGCCCGAAGCGAGAGCGAAAGGCGGTCTTGTGGGTGTCCTCCTCGTGGATGCGGATCTGGTGGAAGCCACTGTGGAGATCAATCTTGGTGAAATACTTGGCTCCACGGAGGCGATCAAGAAGCTCGGATATGCGAGGGAGTGGGTACTTGTTCTTGATCGTGATCCGGTTCAGGGCACGATAGTTTGTGCACATGCGGAGTTCCGAGGTGCCGTTCTTCTTAACGAAGAGACAACTGGTTCCGAAGGGGGAGGAGCTAGGCTTAATGAATCCTTTCTCAAGGAGTTCATTAAGTTGTCGCTTCATCTCTTCGGCCTCGGGAACGGAGAGCTGGTACGGGGGGCGACAAGGAGGATAGTGGCCGGGCCTGAGATCAATGGTGTGGGATACACCGTGATCGGGAGGTAGACTGGCGGGCAAGGACTCGGGGAAGACATCTTTGAATTCGGAGAGGAGGGCGGTGATATGGGGATCAGAAGGAGGATCTTGGTCGGGTTTGTCCATTGGAAGCAAGTCCTCGGGACGCTCGCGGTCGATGACAAGGCAATAGTAAGCAGAGTCAGGGTGTTCACGGGACATGTGGAGGAATNGGGACGCTCGCGGTCGATGACAAGGCAATAGTAAGCAGAGTCAGGGTGTTCACGGGACATGTGGAGGAATTGATGTGGGGAGACGGGGGGTGGGGTGGAAGGGGGAAGAAGGTAGGGGATGTCAACGGGAGAGTCGGGAGGGTTGGTGAGGCGGACGAAGGAGGGGTGGAATGAGCAGGGCATGTAGTGGTCCAGCCACGGGGTCCCTAGGACGATGTCGCACATAAGGTGCATGACATCGAAGGAGACCTGACTGCGAAGGGGGCCGACAGTCATGGTGGTCTCAGGGACTGTGCGATCGACGATGACGGCTGAGTCCTTATCCCTTAGGCGGATAGTGATCGGGGAGTCATAGCCGGTGGAAGATAAGCCGACTTTGTGGACGCAGGCATTGGTGATGAAGTTGCCGGTGGCGCCAATATCAAGGAGGGCCCGAAACTTCACCGTCGATGCACCGAGGGAAACAGGAATGAACTTGAGCTGGAACTGTGCGGATCCGACACAAGCAGAGGAGATCATAGTGTTGAGGCGGCGTTGCTCGAGGCCTAACCTAATGAGCTGATCATGTCGGGCTCGTTCCTCAACAAGATTTGTGAAAGTGGTGGCGGATGGGTTAGGGAGGAGGGTGAAAGAACACGTGGCAGTGGAGGGTTTATCTGACTTAATAGGGGACATCGTTGGGAGGGGGGCAGACAGAGTAGACTGCGATGCCTGGAGATTGTCCGGTGGGATGTGCGTCACCGGAGGAGGGGTTGGCAGACGAATGGTCGATGCCAAATGACCCATCGGTGGGACGGAGGACGTTACCGATGGGTGGGCCGACAGACGCGGTGTCGATGCTGGGCCGATGTCCTGGTGACTGTGTTCATGATGAGGAGGGACCCACGCTTGCCGAGGGCAATGATGCAGAGGTTGCGGGTCGAGTGGAGGTGGACTGGTGGGTGAATTGTGCAGCGTTGGGGCAGTTGGTTTGTTGGTGCCCCAATTGGCGACAACGGAAGCAACCCCCTTTTGCTTGGAGGTAGGTGCRCTCCTCGGGGGTGAGTTTCTTGAGGCGGGAGGATGGGGTAGATGAGGGTGGTTGAGAGCTGCGATCTCTGCGCCCCATCCTCATGAATTGGACGACATTGAGCTCCTCGGAAGAGAGGGATGAAGAGTCGAGTGAATCGGAAGATGCATCGGGGTCCGGTGTAGTGAACTCGTCCGAGGAGGTGGTGGAGGTGGTGTCCTCGGAGGCGATGTTGTGGAAGAAGCGAGGGCGGGGAGGGGCCGATGTAAGTGCGGTCTTGTAGTGGGAGAGGATGCGATTGAGTTGGAGGGTACGAGTGAGGAGGTCGGCGAGGGTCATGGGGGGCTCGTGGACAAGGGCAGCCGCTAGGTCTTTGCGGCATACGCGCTTAACGCGGATATGAAGGTGAAATCGTTGATGACATCAACGGGGATATGTTGACGAAGCGAGCAGACGTATTGCACAAAACGGTCGGTTGGGCCGTTTTGTTGGAGCCGGCAGAATTGGTCGATATAGTCGTCGAGCGTTTTTTGTGGGCGGAAGGTGGAGGTGATGAGGGTGGCCCACTCAAGGAAGGTGTGAGGCCGGAGACCGGAGTGGTGGCGATTAGACATTTCGGTGTACCACCAGCGAGTGGCGTTGTCTAGGAGTCGGCTGCCAGCGATGGGGAGCCAGTGGATGACAGGGACGGCGTGGATGAAGAAGGCTTGTTGGAGTTTGGTGAGGAAGAGGAGAACATCCTCATGGGGTTGGCCCAAAAAGGTGGGGAGCTCGTTGGCGCGGAATGATGGGGGGATTTTGCCTTCTCTATTTGTAACGGCGGCAAGGGCATTGAAGTCGAGGGTGGGGTTGGGGGAGTCGACCAGGGTGAAATCATTGGTGGGGTTGGTGGGGTTGAGTGCATTTGGGGGAAGTAGTGGAGGAGCGGGATACACAGCTTGTGGGATAATCTGAGTGTAGTTGGGGATAGTTGAGGTGATAGTGGAGGTGGCTAAGAGGGGTTTTGATTGGGGGGGGATGGTTGATGACTGTGTGACGGCGGGAGTTTTCGCCTTGCGCGAGAGGGGATGTGGAGTGGCCACAGTGGAGGTAGTGGTGGATGAAGATGGCGGTGATGTTGATGTGGAGGTTGAAGCGGATGCTTGTTCGGAGGAGGGGGTGGTTTGGGGTGTGGAGGAGGAGGGTGTGGTCGTGGTGACGACCGTGATGGCGGGGGTGTTTCCCTCGAGCATGGTGACACGGTCGGAGATGGCGGCCATGGTGGTGTTGATGGTGTCAAGGGAGGATTGGAGGGCGGTCAACGTTCGGAGGAAAGTTGCGAGTTCCGGGGTGGCGGTGGTCGAAGTTGGCGGATTGCCTGCGAGTTCACGGGCAATGCTGTCGACGGAGTCGGAGCGAAGATCAGACATGTTGATGGATGATTGAGCCATGTTGGGGGAAGAGGGGGTGGAGGACGCGGCCGGACAGATGTGGAGGATGCAGCAGCAGCAGTGGCGGCGGCACCAGCAGCGGCGTCGGCGGCAACGCGTTGGGAGTTCTTGGTTTGGCGTGGTGGCATGTGGGGATGGGGGACACAATTTCTTTATCAATAAATTCAGAATAAGGATAATTGTCGAGATTTCGAAGGGAATAAGGTTGGGGGGGAAGGGAATGTGGGAATTAATTTTGAGTAAATAAATTTATTCCGACTTTGAATTTTATTTATTCGAAATTAATTCAAAATATGGGTAGAACAAAATGCGAGGCCATTGCCTCTAAGAGCCCCAAATGGCCCCATTTTTGCAGCCCGTCGGCCACCCTAAGTGAAGGCAGGCTCGACGAGGCCCTCAGGGCCCTTTTCAGGCCACCACGCAACTCAGGGAAATTCAGGCAGTTGTGCAGCGCCAGTTGGTTGAGTGAACCCAGGCCCTGGGCCGCCTGTGTGAATGTATGTGAAGCAGGCCCTGGGCTGGATACGGGTACCGGGCCAAACACAGGCCGAAAGCAGTTGGGCACA